TTCTGTGTGGGTTTGTGATGGCGAGTTAGGTAGATCCTCTATGCCTATCAATCTCTAGTGCAGGACAGTGTTAAAATATGTTTCTGATAATTAGGTCCGGCAAAGACTCAAAGCATCCAGAGACCTCCTCTCTGTATAGACTGATAGGATTCCAACTTGACTTGCCTCCAAAGCAATGGTCCTCAGGTGTGGCACAAGTTTGTTTCAACAGGTTGGGGCACTTGCCTCTGCTTGGAGGTTGTTATTTATAATATCTTAAGTGCCCTAAGGGCAAGGTGTTTCCCAGTAGTGTGTTTTAATTGTCTCCCCTCCAGGAAAGGCAAATGTCTGTGTGGGAAAGATTTTTTCTGCTGCATGAGGAAATGACTCCTCCCAGGAAACTTGAAGTGTCTGTCTTCTGAGCTGGAACCCTTGACTCCCCAGTTCTGGCTTTTTCCCACACAGCTCCAGTCCACTTCACCTTCCCTTTACCAGGGCACAATGTCTGTGGCTCCACAGGGAAGTCTTTGCACTGGCCCTTTAAGAGCATGCCTGAATTTCTAGTTGTCTGTCCTGGCAGACAGTGCCCTGCTGCTATTCATATCCACAGGTTATATGGGTACCCTCCTCAGTTCTCGTGCTCTCTGCTAGGAGGCCCAGCTTTGGGATTAGTCCCAGAGTTCTCAGTGGCAATCCTCCACAACTGAGATATCTCTCCAGGACTTCAGTTGCTGTCTTTGGGTATCAGGCCCGCCCCTTCAAGCCTCCTCTCCTCCTACCAGTGCTAAGTGGTCTCCATCTTCGGTCCTCGGTGTCAGGGTTCTCTCCTGTGAGTTTTCCATTGATTATTCAGGAAGTTGTTCTGTATTTTAGTTGGAATAACAGTTTGTTCCTGGGAGCATGTTCCTGCACCATCCACTTATTCTGCCACCATTCTTTTAAATATATTTTTTATTAATCTCAGAGAGGAAAGGAGAGTGAGTGAGGGTTAGAAACATCAATGATGAGACTCATTGATCAGATCCCTCCTGCATGCCCCAGACTGGAGATTGATTCTACTCCCAGGCAAGTGCTCTTGACCTGAATCCAAAAAACTGTCTCTGTTTGGATCATGATGGAGCTCAACTAAGGCTCTTCTTTCAAGTAGTGGTTCTAGGATATACTCTTCATTTCAACACATATTCTGAGGAAACGTCGGTAGTCGTGCCCTACTCTAAAATGTATTAGGCCATTCAATTATAAGGCAAGATCTTTTTATAAGGACAAGGCATTTATTTTTATTGAATGAATATTCTAAGAAACACATAAATATATAAAGATATACTTTGTGCTTCCAACAATCATATATGTATTGAGGAAATATGGAGACCAAATAAGTACAACTTAATCAATAGGATACAAGTACAGTAGGTCCTCACATTACATTGTAATACGTTCTTGCGTTCTTGCAGTGGGATATAATGCAATATTCGCGTAAATCAGAACCCACCTACATAAGAACGTATGTCACTCACATGGAGCACACATACACAGCAGTAATGGCGTGAAACAGTAAAAAAACAACAACAAAAATTAAAAGAAAGACAACAATACCTGAGCTTTACTTGTGGTAAATGAATAATAAAAAAAAACATAAAGCGCATATGTACATACATAGAAATGATCAAACTTTTTAAAAAAAAAATAAATGGGGAATGGCGACGTATCCAGAAAACTATGTACTTTGAGTCCAACGTGACTCAAGGAATGTCTACATTATCTCAACAGCCTGAAAAGTGATCAATGTGGATTCAGATGGTCTTTTTTAAATGAAAACATGGATAGAAAGGCACACTTGAAAGAGTCAGGCATTGCAAGTTCCAAATCAGAGCGTGCACATAGTTGTGAAGAAATAAGGTAAAAGTGACTTATTATATTAGTAAAGAGGTGTTTTAAAATCTAACATTGACACCCTCACTATAAATTATGTTGGAAAATTGAAAGTATTGAGAGCATCAGTGTAGTTAGGAAGAATATGCCTTTGCACTTGAATATAGACAAGCACCCTGCCCATTTCAATTTTGGATGATCTAATGAGCAAGGAAATTAGTGAAAGGCTCATTTATGGGCATTAGTGGAAAGAATTAGCACTGAAACATAGTACTGTTTGTGGGAGATGTAATATTTCTCATATTTTGAAGGAGATTTCTCATATTTTGAAGTGCCCTCCATATAAGCCATTAAATAATACCGCTAAAGAGCAGTAAAATCGATATCACCATCTTACCAATACTCAGGTTATACCTTTAAATTATTCATTATTAGAAGAGAACCATGCTAAATCGGTGATAAGAAATAAAATGACTAGAGGCCCGGTGAATGAAATTCAAGCACCGGTCGCATCCCACAGCTTGGCCTGTGCCCTCGCGAAATCTGGGACCCCTTGGGAGATGTGGGACTGCCAGATTGGGTCTGACACCTCCTGAGGGATGTAGCAGTGCACGAAACGGAAGGCAGTCAGGCAGGAGCCCAAGCTGGAGCCAGGTGCTCTGTTCCCACTCATCCAAGGCCCACTCCACCTGCCACCACTGCGTAATAGCCTTTTCACATAGTCAGCAGAGGCTCTTGCTGTCACAGCTGCACTGTCCAGCCATTAGCCCAGCTTCTGGCTGAGTAATGCTCTCGCTGTGTGAGAGTCTTGACCACCAGAGGAAAGCTCCTGTGTTGAGCGTCTGCGTCATGGTGGTCAGTGTGCATCATACCAACCACTCATAATGTCGCTTACGCTTCTATATATATATATATATATAGATATGTGTGACCAATTTGGCATGTCCTGCCCAATAGAATATTAGTATTCACGGATGATATCTTGCCACTATTAGAATACCAGTGGCCAGGTGCATGGATTCGTGCACGTTTTAAGGAAATTAATTAGAAGAAATATTTAATATTGTTATTTGCCCTTTCTCTATAATAGCAGTGTCAACCAAATTGAGATTGACAATGACAAATTGAAACACACGCATGTAATTGGCGCCAGCAAGAGCGTCATATGTATCGCACATGCACGAGTCAACTTAGCCCTATAAATATAAATATATATTTAGATAGATGGATGCATATATAGGGAATAAACTTGCTTAATTAGACCTGCTTTCTGAATTAGCTCAACTTTTTCCAAGCCATTGAATCACCTTAACTTCTCTTCCAGGTAATTGTCAGCAACACAGCAGTAAATATCAACTCAAAGCAGATTATTATTGTAGTTCATGCGGTGAGAACAACGGGTAAAATATTTAACTGCAGCAGTGTTTGACTTTATTCTGCACAGTGAGAAAACCTGAAGTCATTTTCAAGTTCCACCATTTCTTCCTCCTTTTCAGTCAGGTCAAGATTCCCAGCTTTCAAAATCTCCGTTTTCTGGCTAATGAAGAGAAAATAGGATAACACCGATTCTACCATCTACCTACACCAGAGCTTTTGGTGAGGGGCAGGGCTGTGCAGGGGGACACCCACTGCCCCATCCATGATTGGAGGAGGCTTTTGAGGAGCCCACCCAGAAACAGCAGGCTGTGCCTGGCCAGGTGGCTTCTGTACCACATGTTCACATGACCAGCGCCTGTGCATGAGCCCATTGTGCACCCACTCAGCACACCAGGGCCTGGATGCATGCACTAGTGAGCGAGCGCCTTGCCTGGATTAAGCAGGCTCTGCACTGCCTGCTCCTTCACAGCACCAATCTCAGAACCAGGGGGCATCCAGAGTCAGGCTGTGTTGGGAACTGAAAGGGCTCCTGGGACTGCGCGCTTCCTCTCAGTTCCACTAGGGGGCCTTTAGCTGCAGGGCGCCTGAGGATTCACAGTGCAGTCCAGGGCCTTTGCACCAGGAAGGACAGGGCAAGAAG